GCTCCTCCTTCTCCTCCTCCTCCTCCTTCCTGTATTTTAATACAGGTTCTACAGGGTCTCACTACGCAGATCGGACTCATAGTGATTCTCCTGCTTTCAGCCCCCCAAGATCTGGGATTACAGGTGCCCACTGCCACACCCAGTCTCATTGCCAACTCAGTGTACCCCTGGGGTGGGGCCAGCACGGAACACCGGAGATAGAACCCTGGCTGCTGCACCCAGCCTAAGCGGATGCTTTAGCCTGCTGAGCTATCCGGCCAGCCCTTAATTCAATTTTTTTACAGTGAAAGACTTCAAAATGTTTTATAAAACAATCTTAAAAGTACATGGACTTTAAATTTTGGAAGAATCTTTTTTTTTTTTTTTTTTTTTCAGTACAGGGTATTGAACTTGGGGCCTTGTACTTGCTAGGCAGGTGCTAATACCACTGAGCCATTTCCCCACCTATACCACTACCACTGAGCTCTCCCCAGCTCCTGGAGAGAATCAGTATCTACTTTACTCTATTTTTATTTTTATTTTTATTTTTATTTTTTAGGGACCATGGATGGAAGAATCATGAAACACTATGAGGTTAGGAAATAAAATTTAGAAAATGTTGGTGAGCAGAATTGACAGTTAAGAATGAATTTGGGTAAAGGAACCAAATCTATCCACACTGAAGTCAACTACCTTGGGTCCTTTCTGTGATTCAGATTTATCCATGACCAATTGATGAGAAAATTATATTCATGATCTGATTGCTCTATTTTATTGATTGTGTATTTATGTGTCATTTTCTCTTCCCTACCCTTCTTCGCTTCCTTACTGTCCACTCTCTCCCTGCCTTCTTTTCCCCATCTTTCCTCTTGTGAAAGAAATGATTTTGGAAAAAAAAAAAACCATTTATAAGAGGGGCAAGATAGTTCAGCAGACTAGGCACCTGCTTTGGCAAGCACAGGGACCAGGGTTCCATCCTCTGTCCCACATGCTGCACAGGCCCCATCCCTGAGCCAGGAACTGAGTCTGGGTGTGGTGGCACATGCCTGTAATCTCTGTGCTGGGGAGGCTGAGAACAGGAGGATCACTATGAGTCTAAGCTGCTTAGTGAGACCCTGTAACAAATACATAAAATGAGAAAAACTGTCAAACAAACAAACAAACAGAAAGAAATGATTTGCTCCACTTTATCTAAATATTCCATGTAAAAAGACTCTGAGTTATTCTAGCCATGAGACCAGCAATGTGACTGGAACAGTTCAAGGGTTGCCCCAGCCACGGAACTGGCCCACCAGGATGCAGAAAGTACAACCCTGCTTTGCCCAAGATAAAGTTCCTGAGAAAGAAAGGACTGACAGCCAAACATTCGAAAAACAGACTTGAGTGTTAGTTTCATAAAAGTAGTAAAAGAGTAGGAACAGCTGATGAAAGAACAACAACTCCTCTAAGTAATCAGCTAATTTTATATTATTTTCTTTCTTCTGGTTATGGAGATGAGCCAACTGACTGCAATCGTTGGTAATGTAAGCCAACCGTATAATGTACAGCTATATGACAGGTGTTTAAATAATGTTTATATTTGTACAAGTACATAAATGCAGCTATCTAAAATAATTGATGTAAATATAACAGTAACAGAGTAAATCCATAGAACATATGGATTGTTCAGTCCCAGCATGCTTGTTTCTTGACATACAACAAACCACAACACATGAACGTGCTCTTGCAATTAAAAGAAGAAAATCAGCAAATTTTAATTTCAGTAGCTAAAAGGAGTGAAAGTGGGACAGCAAATTTTGGTTTGTTGTAGGCCTCTGTGTGAGAACAACAGATTTAGTACTTATGAAATAGAGACCTCAAAAGTTCAAATCAAGTTTATTACTCAGGATAAGAAATTTTACTTATTACAAGGTAAAAATAAAATCATTTGAACAATTTGCAGCGCAACTTGTCAATTTTGAATACAGATCATACGGTATATAATATTTATGCTAATGGAATTTCATATAAAATTCACAGCTAGATGCATCTGATTATGCAAAATACAGGAAGAACACATTTCAAAAAATTCTTACTTCAAACAGAGTAAAATATTCACCTGCAGAAAACACTGCAAACCATATGTATTATCTATTTATTGAATAATCAGTGAACCCAGTGAACGCTTATTTTTGGAGAAAATTAACTCACACATGTGCTGTTTACATGTCCTTGGTGGCAACCTGACACGTAAGGACACATTCCTCTTAATTAAAAAACACTAATGTTATTCATGGGAAAAAAGACAGCAGACCATATTACACAAGACGTTTTAATTTCCAAGTGTTTCAAATTTCATAGAAAGGCCTGGTTTATGGCAAATATTTATGTTCTGGATATTTGAAATAAAATTTTCCTTAAACCAAACCTATGGATGCTATTTTCTTATGAATTAATTATTGAACTACAGGATGAAAATTTGTAGTTCACAGTAGGACTTCGTGTGTCTGTCTTGAAATTGGTGTCAGCTGGACCCTGGCTTCAGACGAAAGTTGTGGAATGTGTCATGTTTTTAAAGAGAAAATCACCACAGATAAATTAACTGAGTAATCAAAAATATGTTTATTAATTAAATAATAGTTAAGAGTTTGTGGGGTGGGAATTTGGGGTTTGTACAAACTAGTAAGTTCTTGGAAGATTTTGAATGGTGAAGAAATATATTTGTGAGGAATTAACTCAATACTGGTGGACTAGTATGAAGTACAGAGCAACAATCCTGGGAATGGGACGAGCCATATGAAAAGGAACTAAGCAGATTTGGAAGCTGATTTGGTGAGCATCATATTCAAAACAAAACATCAAAAGTGGGCTCAGCTCTTCAAGGCTGAATTATAATATTGTTGCTATGGAGAAATCAACCAAATGGTAAGGTGGTCATTCATTTTTCAAGTTCAGACTTACACAGGAACTGAACATTAAGTCACCTGGATTCCTGAAGGCTTACAATTTGAAAGACTGAATGTGCTACTTGGAGAAGGACAGGTATAGGGACTTAACACTAGAGAAATGCTAGTGAACTCTGAGTGAACAGGACAAGATTTTCTAGGACAATCTTCCACCTAGGTAATATCTATTCTAAGGAATAAGTGTGTTTTTGAACATCGATTACTGGTTATGGCTTGTGCAAAACTAAGGACAAGTGCAGAATCAGGAGGTCTTTAATATAAATGCTATTTTTGATTGGTCAGAGAAAATTTTTTTCAGTAAAATTAGGAAGGGCATACACTATATTTCCCTTTAATGAAATCTTTCCATGTTTCTTATCATGATCTGTATTTACACAATTATTACCCGTCCTGACTGACATACTGGGTCATGGTCAGGGCCTAGAAGTTAATCCAATCAAAATAAGGCAGGCACATAATACAGAGCTGACTATTCTTTTTTCACAGAGAGTTTGGCGCAGTATTCATTGAGGTATTGCTTAGGATCAAAGGAAAAAAGAAAATGTATCTAATGAGGAAACCACCTCCAGTAATTGTATTGTTTCTTGTTTTATCTACATGAAAAATTTAGTGATTATCATCAGAATCAGGTATTTGTTGCCATTTTGGACATGGAATTCAAAATTGCTTGCTTGCTAATTGTCACATTTCTTCACCTGGTTGTAGGCTCTGGAGCGTGTTATTACATGCACGATTGTTGGCAAAAAAAAACTGACAACGTAGTCTCAAATACATGGCCACCAAGTGAAGAAAAAATGACTTTATGTGGCTAGGACTGTGATCATTTATAGTAAAATGGCAAATAGAAAGGACCAAGAAAAATTTCACAGTAGACAGTTAATAACTTACACCTAGAATAAACAATTGGACCATATTAGAAAAGGATCTTTGATTAACAGGGATTACCAGCAAATACTTGGGAATAGCAGAACTTTAGAGTCTTATGTCTTTCACATGGTCAATTAGAGTATTTTATTAAGTAATTAATTTTTGTGCTGGGAATTGACCTCAGGATCTTGTGCTCGTACCATTGAGCTATATCCCAAGCCCCATTGAAAGTATTTTAGAAAAGGAAAACCAAAAGTTATAGTGAAACACTTCATGTAAAATATCTTGCAGAATTAATATTCTAATAGTGTAAGATTCATATTTTTTTAACAAGATAGTCATTCACTGTTTCCACTCTCTGCTTTCTTCTTTTCTTTCTGGTTTTAATTAGCCCTTCTTTGGACTTTCTTTTGATGAAGCCTACAAGAGGAAAAGCAAAAAAAAATTATTAATGTATAAACCTTACCTGAAATTTCCTCAAATTATCCTCTAATGTTAGACTACTTAAGTAATATAATTGGTTTAAGAGCCTCTAATTTGTCTTTTTATAGAAAAGCTTTTGTCTAAAAAATTCATTTTGCAGAAGTGACTTAGCAAAAATAGGATAAGGTTATTGTTTTTCATTTACAAATTCATGCTAATTTTATAGCAAAAAGTAGAAGTAAGGCTGTGCATGGTTGCTGGAATTACAGATGATTTTTATTTATTTTTTATGATCTTTCCATTTGATTGTAAACATTTTCATGTGAGAAGAAAATACATATGTTAAAATTTTGTAATTTGTAAGAAAGGTTAAAGAAATTTTGATGTGTTCCTTCACAACACAGTCTTTATATTCTAATGTTTAATAAAATGTTGAATATGTGTTGATTGTTGTCTCTGATGACACATAAGGTTTAATTATAGTTAATACATTTTGCAATTTATATTATCTAAAACCAGTTGAATGGATATTTATGAACTTAATCGTATGTTTTTATAACAAATGAAATTAATATTTTGCAGATTAAAATCATCTATAATTTCAATGCAGTTATTATCCTAAACAGTACTGAATTAATAGAAAGATTATCTTCATACCTTTTTTACAGGCCCTGACACATGCTCTTTTAGAAGCAAAGTTATTCTCGTTTCCTCCACATCCACTGTACATAAACGGATGGCACTTCTCAGTGACTGAGTTGTAGAAGAATCTGGTTTCATTCGCTCGACACATTCCTCTGTCTGCTGGGGTGAGACACCATGAAGGTCCCTGGAATTCTGAAAACATGATAATCCATATCTGATAATGGATACCGCACTATTGTATCAGTTCTGTTTATAAAGTGGCTATGTTAGTGCACAAAAGTATTACGTGTTACAAATTATATATTTCACTTCCCAGAAAATGCTTCAATAGACTCCAGGATCAACTATGCTGAGAACTTTCTACAGTGAATGAAAAATAGACACAATTGCTGAAGGAAAAGTATTAGGACCATTCTTTATATGAATAAGCTATGCACATAGTTAAAATAATCATTATTCAACCGTTTAACTTTTGAATGATATAATACAATCACATTTTATTTATTTATT